TATCATTTAAACGTCCTCATTTTAAAGACACCAAGTGTTTCATCAGCTGGCACGCTAGCCATGTAGCCCTCTTTACCAGCAAGAGGAACACGACATTCCGAGGACACGAGTAGGTTTTGTTTTGGCATTGTTTACTACAGTAGATTGCCATGCAGTCGCACACATCTCTTAATACTGTAGCTGAAGAAAAGCCCGTTTTACTTTGAGAAAGTTTGCGGACCTGTATTGAGACATATTCCCGTTGTAGTTTTGTAACGGACAAAATGTAGATTATTTTTTTGCTTTGCAAGTCATTATATGAGTTGACATCAAAGTAGTCACATGTCTTTTGGCTCCTGAATTGTACAGTTGTGCATATTTTAATGTAACACACCTGTTTAACAATGTTAATAATCTTGTCTGTTTTTTGCATTACTATATAATCATTTTGTCTTTTTTAAGGACTTTTGTACATGAGAATAACTTTGCAGGAAAGGTTACCCCAGTCTGGGTGAGGAAAAAATGGGAAAACCTTAAGCAAAAATACAAGGTAAAGTTGTAGTTGAATATGCCAAGTGTACAGCAATTTATTTGCACTGGGTGCTGAACCCTGGCTCTGGTGATCTACATCTGTGGAAAGTTTAGTTCACACTCTCATCGTACGTTCTAATGTGGGTTTAGTTACAACTCTATTTGTATCTCCATGCACACGTACAATTCAAATGGCTGCTGTGTGATGTTCATTAAGCATACAATGATGCCTTTAATCGCTAGACCAATCAGAACAAGCTCTGTGTCATTTTTCCTCATCATACTAAATCTGCCATCATTGCCTCAGCCTCCCAGGATGCAGCCGTGGTCTCGTCTCCCTCTGTGGTAACCCCGAAACTGCAAAAAAAGAGGCAGGCAGAGCTGATTTAATTGCTCCAGAAGATGGAGGGGAGAGAGGAAAGACAGGAGAGGGAATAAATGGAAAGAGAGGAGAGAAGAGAGAGAAAGCAGAGACGAGAGGTGGAGTGGAGGGATAGGGAAGAGAGAAGGGAAAGGGAGGTTGCTGCCAGGGAAGAGTTTTTTTTATTGTAATTGTGATATTATAATAATGATAGCAATAACTGTTAATTTGAATTTCAGCTTTCAAAGTACTGCCTACAAAAAAAAATTAACAATAGATAACGCAAGGTAACGAACATTTCATCTACAGATTTAAAATAGAGTAATACTAAGAACAACAGCATAAATATTTATAAAGTTAACAGTATTAGGGTAAATGTGGTGTTATAATTGAGACTGCTATTTGAATTTGTCTTCATGTCATGAAGTATGGGTGGTATAGTAGAGCAGATAATTAAAACAATCTCTCTCTTCATCTCCACACTTGACTTCAGGCACCTGCTCCGGACGTTCAACCGAGTGGCTGTCATCAGCCCCTTCTGTCTCCATTTTGTCACCGTTTGCCTGGCAGATGATGTGGAGAATTGTGCAGCACGTGATGACCTCTGGGACGTACAAGATGTCTACCTTCAGTGCTTTGAAGAAAATTGAGCGCCACATTGCTTTCATCACTCCAAATGCTCTCTCCACAGTACTTCTGGCTCAGGATAGATGGTGGTTATACTGCTCTTTTTGTTGGTTGCGTAGGGGCAGTAGGTAGGGTGTCAGGAGTGTAATGAGTTTGAACAGACATGGGTATCCTCCATCTCCAACTGTGCACCACCAGGGGGTGGGTGCAGCTGTTGGCTGTATAGAGGGCTGTGTTTTAACACCCTGGCATCATGTGCAGACAATGCTGTGATGAACACATCCAGAAAGCTCCCTGTGTGGTTGTATACAGGTTGGAGCTGCACAGAATGACAAAGTTTTCTGTTTAAATAACACACAGCATCCCTTGCTGGTGGTTTCACCCTTTCATGGCAGCCATCTATGCTGCCAACCACATGATTGAAGGCAGGTGAGCCAGCCAGCTGTGCAAACCCCACACCAAGGCTGGGTATCCATCCTGGGTTAGTAGTAAGATGACTTGCTTCATGATGCCTATGATTCTTCAACTGACCTTGTGAACAGCTTTGTACACAGTGGAGCGGGGGATGTTGATGCCCTGGATACCATGCTGTAGAAAGTGGCACTAGCAAGCCAGAAGAGGAACATCAGGGTCTCAATCACCTCTCCCCACCCAGACCCCATATGAGATGGCTGAAGGACTCTCTGGACAGACAGCAATCTGGGCGAAGGTCACTGGTGTTATCAAAGTAGAGTGCAAGGACAGGTGTGGTGTAGTTCATCTGACAGTACAGCCTTGTAGGCCAGCCACTCCTGAGAAAGTTCACCACTGTTCAAAGTGTTCTGCATTTGTGGATAATCGCTCTCAATAAGAGGAATCTGGTCCTAGATCAGTGTTCCCTCGCAGTTTCCCCAGCCACTTAAAAAACAGGAAGTTGGTTTTACAGCATTTGGTCCAGCATGGCCTGAAGCGACACAATACACCACACCACTAAAATAATAATGGATAAAATATGCTTAGCGGTGCAGACTGAAATGCTCAATAAACAAAAGAAAATTTGTGCTGTAGTACTCAAGGCTGGTCACGGAGTCGAATACAGACTCCATCGTGTTAGACTAGTCTTGGACATTACTCGGTCATCGTTCTCCCCTAATTAATTTCTGGTCTCAACCACATTTACTATTGTTTAAAAAAAATATTTTCTCTTTTACCTGTCAGTAGCGTACGCTGACTCACGAGCCAGCAGTTCAGGGGTTAAACTGTACTGGAGCGAACCAGAGCGGAGCTTTACCATCTGAAAGGCAAACAGAGCTGAGTTCTAGTGCTTGATGGAAATGTAAACCGTATGGTATAAAAGCTTTGTGAAACCCATTAAACTATTAAATGTGATAAACTACAGTGAGAAAACACCTCTAACCTCACCCCCTTCAAGTTTGTTTCATGCTACCATACGTTTAAATGGTCCTCTTCATAACTGTTAACTGTTATCATTCTACTGAGTTTCATGACCTTGTAAGTACTGGCTGCTTCATTTCTGCCATTTTGTGATGTTTTACCTACATTAATAGCTTAGTTTAAATTTCATTATGCCTCAACAAGTAAAATGTAGCTATTCTGTTAAATCTGAAATAATTTAAAAAGTGTTCTGTTGCTCTGATATCTAGCTAACTAGTCGAGTTTGTATGACCAGAAAACCTAAAGCTGTCTGAGGAAGCTAAATCGAACAGCAAAACAGTTGTTAATACAGTGGGTCTGTCCATTTATATGGGTGTTTTTCTAACTGACTGTTGTTATGTTGACTCTTAAAGATGAATGTTTGCACCTAGCTAGCTAGCAGTGTCTGTAGTTTAATAATGCCAATCAGAGTTAAATTAGTTAGTTATGTTGGGTAGGAAAGGCAGGAGTTTACAGTTTGAAAATCATGTGTCCAAAATTTCACTGGATAGCAGTGGACCTGGCAGTAAAGTGTTGTACAGAGGTGACCTATTTCACAAGTTTTCTATATAAACTGTACCCTCTTAAAATAAGGGGCAGATGATCCAAGTAGGGTAGGACAGGAAGGGCTGTTAATATCAGATGGGTGGTGTTACAGATTAGAACAGTTTGTTTGCTAATATAGATAAGAAGGCTTCAGTTTGACTTTCATCTCTGTCAGAAAAGAATAGACAGAAGAAGATATTTTGATATAAGTTTGATGCCAAAACTGATAAACGACAATTACTTAAGTAATCAAGTAAATTAATTGACTTAATTGAGCTGTGAAGACAGCAACAGCTAGGCTGTTGTTTTTATTTACATTTTCATGTTATTTTATGACACTGACACTCATAACATTTACTAAGAGTGAGCAATGGGTGGATTCGCTTAAAGTGAGCATTGGTTGCATTCATTTTGTGTTTGTGTTGAATGCAAAGAAACTTTTCAATCCATTCCACAGACATTTGTGCTTGTAAGTAAAAGATGAGGTATTTTATTATGATTTGAATTTGATGGGGTTTATTTTTGCACATACAGTTTTGTGTTGATTTTCCAGTAATTTTTGCCAGAAGGAGATAAAGACTAATTGGAGCTTGGTCTTGAGGAGGACTTGATTTTTGGGTCTTGACCTGGTTTCGCTCTCTTTTGGACTTGATGTTGCTTTTATTAAGAGTTGGTCTTGACCTGGACTCAGAATTGTTCTTGGACAATTCTGCCTTACAAAGTAAAATGGAGAACTAGTCACTAATTAATTAATGCTGTCCTATTTTTAGAATTTACTCCTGAATTGTGTTTGGAACTACAGGTTGCAAATAAGCGACGGATCCTTATTGCAATTTCCGACACTGCTCCACTTCACTTAAGTCTATTTTTGTAGAAATATGTCGCAGTAAACCGGTCTGCGTGGTCAGTCAAATGGCCCTTTTCCTTAAAGATGGTTGATCTCGAAACCCACCCAGTCTGGTTTACGTAACTTCAGCAGTCTTCACGTTGGTTTAATCTCATGGAGTATTTTTATACTAATAAAAGTACTTTGTGTTTAGCAAAAACTTATTTCTGTTCTCTTTTTCTGACTCTTTGCTGCAGTTTTTAATGCGACTGTACTTCAGGCATGTTCCTTGACTAGTTAACTGCTGCAAAACAGCCCGACTAGTGGATTTCTTAGTTGACTGATGCTGTGCACCCCCTACTACATTCTCACATAAGAAGAAAAAAAAGCATATCTTACTTAAATGTATCTTCAACTCTCTGTGGATCCATTGTTTTTGTAAACTCCAGATATGTATCATAAAATCCCATTGTATCATCCTGAAAGACTCCGCAAAGCACAAAAAGAGATCATTACATACATATTCACAAACTTCAGTTTAAAAGCCCACATGATTTTTAGATGCAAAATTACAGAACATAAGTAAATAAATAAGTGAAAGGATTTAAACAACTATTTTTGGTGCAATGAAGTGGAATGTAAGTTACAAGAGAAAGTAGTCACAAATTATTATTGTCATTGGAAAGCCGTTATCATAATAGTATAGAAGGTGTGAACAGTTGCAGTTTATAATAACAAATTAAAAACAGACACATTAAGATGCAGCTTAAATATGTTTTTATATTGAATGTGTAGAATTAAACCTAACAAATAAATCATACTCTATTAGCACATTTTATTTTTAAATACACAAAAGATTTAGTGGCAAATTTATTACAGAACAGGTTATTTCATCAAATTGAAGAGTGCAGCACTACATATCACTGACCTCTGAGCTTCATCCAGTTGATCCCGAGTAAGTGCTCCACCGGTCAGTACTTTTTAACGCATTTCTCTTTTATATTACTCCACTTCCTAGATAAACAAAATTCCAACAAGTTAATCTTTGCCTTGCAAGATGTGCTACAAATAAATTAGTGCAGACACATCATCGCTGTTGAAACAAATCCTTGTATCTCCAAAATCCTTAGTTTTCAGGAGAAAGACAAAACATTCTTAACTTTTAACGAAAGTTAATATAATGAGATTTATTGACATTTAATTTTGCAGCATTTCTACTGGTCCATTCATCCTAGAATTTTCACACAATGTAAAGGGCAGCTTAAAAAAGTTTGTTCTTTTTAGGCATTTTTTGGTCAGCTGAACAAAATTGTATCATCTTTCATTTGGAGTGGGAAACCCCCGTGAATTTGCAAAGCCTTGTTACAGAGACCAAAAATATGCGGAGGAATGGCTCTACCTAACCTCCAGTCATGTTATTGGGCAGCCAATTTTAGGGCGCTGTTGTACTGGTTAAGGTTAATGGAGAGGTGGAACACCCATCCTGGCTAGATATAGAATCTAAAAACTGTGGTCCTTCGTCTCTGTCTGCTCTGCTTTGTTCTCCCCTACCATTGACTATACCATCCTTTTGTCAGGACCCAGTTGTCAAAGGTAGCCTGAAAATTTGGTCGCAATTCAGAAAATATTTTGGTTTGTCCTGCATGTCTTTATCAACTCCAGTAGTTTCCAATCACTTGTTCCCAGCTGCACAAGGTGACTCCTCTTTTCAGAGATTGGAAAATTTGGGCATAACCAGTATAAGAACACTTTATAAAGATAATATTTTTTATGTCATTTGAGCAAGTTAAAAGTGATTTTCAGTTAAAATCATCTGACTTCTTCAGGTACCTGCAAATTAGGCACTTTGTGCGCAGCCATTTTATTCATTTTCCATCTCTACCACCACTCACTGTGTTAGATTCTATTCTTGATATGGATCCCACTTGTTCAGGCGTGATTTATAGAAACGTGTATTCTATAATTTTTCAAATGAATCCACCCAGCATCTCATCAAAACAGACACCAGCAAACGTTCCTGTTTAATCTTACTTAACTTCACATCCCAGGCTTATTACATACTATGGCTCATTATTCAGTAACTACAGTAACTTCAATGCAAACTGGCTATTCTCAGATTATAGAAGTGTGTACTAAAATTTTAGGCCTGCCCTAAAAGCACAGCTACATTTCTGATAAAAGTGAACCAGTATTAGCATCACAGAAAAAACATGAAAGATACATTGCCATTATCCTTTATCTCTGCCATCATTAATATTGACTGTGAGAACAAAAATCAACAAATTTAACACAGGTCCTTTGTATCAAAATCAGAATAATGCAGCTATTTACACTATGTACAATAAATATTGGATCACTGTTTTCAGTAAAATTAATCCAATTTCATTGCACATGTGTAAGATGTTCAAAATGCAATGCTAGTAGTCTGTAGCTTTGAAACTATTTGTAGGAAGCTGTAGCAATTTGTTGCAACATATTCAAAAAGCAGTGAGCAAATCTCAATCAAGCCGCTATTCAAGAGGTTTACTATTACCATATCACGAATTCTTGACGTTTCCAAAATTCTTAAAATTGTCAATAAACCATCAGTTTACATTTTGGTGTCTAGTTTATAACATTTAAATCTACACTGTACAAGCTATTATTATGTAACAATTATTAATTGAACTTTTGAATGCTGGTGTACGTGGTTGCATGTACATCACAAAGAGCAAAAGTCCACCTTATACAAATGTTACTCCTGTTTTAGGTGCAAGATCATACAGTCACATTAGAACACTTAACAATGAGTTCAAAAGACAAAATATGTCACAATGTAATAAGTGTCCTAGCATGCAGTTATAAAACTTCATATGGTAGTGTTTAGTTTTAGCAAATCCCTTACGTTGACATCTGTTGTACTGTATCATCATCAATATCCGCATTGACTTTGTCGATGAACGGCTCAAATTTGGCATTTAACATTCATGCAACAGCCCTGAGGAGAAGAAAAAGTGGAGTGAATAAACAACATTTATTTTTATAATAACTTCAAAACTTTTAGCAAGTAGTGCATGTGAGCTTACCACACTTGTCGAAGTAGGAAATGAGTTTTGTATATCTCTTCTTCTACCAATGTGTTGAGTTCTTCTATAAATGACTTCCATCTCTCAAAATACATCTCTCTGTGAAGTCAACAGGAAACAATACATCAATATATACACTCATCGGCCTCTTCAATAAGTTCACCTCCTTGTATTTACACTCATTGTCCATTTTATTAGCTTCACTTACCATATAGGTGCACTTTGTAGTTCAACAATTAGAGACTCTAGTCCATCTGTTTCTCTGCATACTTCGTTCGCTCAATTTTAAATTGTTTGTCAATGGTCAGGACCCCCACAGGACCACCACAGAGCAGGTATTATTTGAGTAGTGTATCATTCTCGACACAGCAGTGACACTGACATGGTGGCGGTTTGTTAGTGTGTGTTGTGCTGGTATAAGTGGATCAGACACAGCAGTGCAGCTGGAGTTTCTAAACACCTCAGTGTCACTGCTGGACAGAGAATAGTCCAGCAACCAAAAATATCCAGCCAAGAGTGCCCTGTGACCACTGATTAAGGACTAGAAGACGACTTACACAAACTGTGCAGCAACAGATGAGCTACAGCCTCCGACTTTACATCTATAAGGTGGACCAACAAGGTAGATGTGTCCAAAAGAGTGGACAGTGAGTGGACACGGTATTTAAAAACTCCAATAGCACTGCTGCGTCTTATCCACTTAAACTAGAGCAACACACACCACCACGTCAGTGTCACTGCAGTGCTCAGAATGATCCACCACCCAAATAATACCTGCTCCTGGTCCTGTCAGGGTCCTGACCACTGTAGGTCAGGGTAAAAGGAGACTAACAAATGTTGCAGAGAAACAGATTTGTAATCTTAGATCTACAGAGGGCACCAATAGGGTACATAGAGCTGAAACAATGAACACTGTGTCTACAATGAGTGTAGACACAAGGCACGTCTACTTAATGAGGTGGCCGATTGCTGTAAACTATACATGATGAAATATCAATAGAGTGCGACTATATAGTAAAAATTACAAGGAGAAAAATATACTTTACATAACACAACTGCATATAAGTCGTAACAGTAGCCTTGAACACAATCCTCTATGATTCTGTATTAGGACAATGAGGGCTTACCTAAAATACTGAACTTCTTCATTGCCTGCCAGGGCAGTTCCTATGTCCACAGCTCTGAAATACAGTCTTTTCGTCTCAGAAAACACCCCCCTTTCACACAGCTGTTCATAAATGGTGTACGAATGAACAACAGCACACCTGCCCACAGTCGTACAACATGAAAACAGGTTAAAAAAAAGAATAATAAATAAATAAATAAAAAATTAACGATTTTGTACTTTGGTTTTTTAAAAAAAGGATGTGTTTTCTCTCTGCTCGTTTTTACAGGCAAAATGGGCAAAAACACATTAATTGCAAAGATAAATGGTTTTGAATATCACCCAATATTAACAAACAATAACAACACAAATTGCCGTATACACATTATATCTGTTTACTGTAATGCTTATCTGAGCAAATAAACAACTACTGCCCAGATATTCTGCATAATACTTCATCATATTATAATGTAGTATTTTGTGTTGCAAGTGTAAGTTTTAGCTCTGACGTTTCTAATGATATGAATAAGTATCTACTTTGTTTAGTGAGTCGGCAGGAGAAAGGGAACCAGTAGAGGAGGTGTCCTCGGCAAGAGGTGTGACAAACAGTAAAAATTAAGACATTTTTCAGACATTTTATGACCTGAAATTTTCTACACTTATTTTAAAACTTTGAAGTTGTTAAGTTGTTATTATTATTATTATTATTATTAAAACTGCAAGAACCCCCCCCAAAATTTCATTTGTTTTTTTTCAGGGGAGCTCATGTGTCTGGTTCCCCCAGAACTCAAATGCTGAACATTAGACTCTAGAATTTTACGCAAAAAAAAAATCTAAACTCATATTAGCAAATATTAGCACATTAGCATTTTCCTTTTCACAAGGCCTTGTGAGGATGCTCATGATTGTAGTAAGTAAATTAAAAAAAAAGTTTTCATATATATATATATATATATATATATATATATACATACATACATATATAAAATAAACAGATTTTACCTTACAGTCCTTGTGAACCTCTCGGTACCAGTAAAGTACAATGCAAGTAGTGGAATAAAGTTTGATTACTATAAAACGTGCCACTAGAGGGAGTCTTCCACTGTTCCCATTACTCACTAGTGGGCTAACAGTGGGATCGTTCTTCATGTGGTCAACTTTGAAGCCATGAAAATGAGCTCAAAATAAAAATAAACCAGAAAGCAGACAGATACACTACCATTTAAAAGTTTTGAATCGCAGTTCAGAAATTTTAAATCAATTATTTTAATCGCAGATATAATTCGGTTGCAGATATATGTATACATGTTTTTATCAGGTTAATCTGTGTAAACAGATTTCAAACAACTATTAGAACTAGAAAAAACTCTGTAACAATTGATTGTAAATATATAATTGAAGCACTTTATATATCTTTTAATAACTTACTAAAAAGTTAATGTTCTCTAAATTCATCTAAAACATCTTAAATGCCTAAATATTTGTAAAATATATCTAAAATCTAACATTATAATATGATTAATTTAATGAGTGACTCCAAACTTTTGAACAGTAGCGTATTCTTTCTCTGCCTATAAATTACATTATTTTTTGTGATTTTAGGTGACGGAAAATAGCAGTGACTTCACAGATTAAACTCATCAGGTAAACATTAATAGCTTCATATGCTGAGTCAGTTATGTAAGTGCAGGGTAAACAGAAAAAAGTTCTGTGTTTGGACTCTCTATCGATCAGGACTGTGAATCAGTGGGTTCATATATTTGTAGCTAGAGGGAAAATTCTAGAAAAAAGTCTGTAAGCCCATCAAAATACTAAAGAATTACGTACCTGATAAAATTATCTAGTTTTTCCCATTCCATTATAGATTTTAGTGCTTCTTTTAGTTCTTCCTCAACATCGTTCATTTTTCTGTGAATGCAAAATATAGTGATTCAGCAAGTACAACAAACATGTTCTGCACTGTATCTATTTGGCTGTAGTTTAACTACAGTAACTACTTCTGGATTAATACGCATTAAAGAAGAGGTGGGGAACTGAGGGCTGAAATCAGGCACAATTTGGTCTGCTCTAGCACATCACCTAAACCTGGCAATTAACTGATCAGTTGAATCAAGTGTGCATGAGCAGAAAATCACAAAACTGTGCAGGAGTCCCCTCCATTAAAGGAAAGGTTCAGTAAAGAATTAAACTTGCACATTTTCCCACTTACCCTTGATGTAGTTGATCAGCTAAAACAACGGCATTACTGTTCAGATTTTCCTTCTTTCATTTTAAACTGGAAAGTGATTGTTTATTCTTTATGTATGAAGATGTGGACACAGTTTGGGTGACTGAGAGAACTTTGGGTTTTCAAAAGTCTGAAGGAGTCATGGACATGGCATACTAAAAAATACAGAAGTATACTGGTATACCTACAGTCTTATAGAAAATATAGAAAAAAAACAGCAAAATAAAATTTAGTACTGAAAAAGGATTCTTTGACTATATAGAGCCATGTTTAAAAAGGGGTTTTCAAAGAACCATATGCAGCGGGTTTTCTATAACAGAGAAGAACCACTTAAACAGGCAAACAAGAATCTGTTATGCATTCAAGTGGTTCTTTGAGTGTTCCTGGTTTTTGAAAATAACCATTATCTTTACTAAAGAACCCTAGAAGAACCATTTTTTATAAAAAAACATGTCTGAAGAAAAGATTGCCTTGCCAAATGTATTCACAACTATCCTAACTAAACTCCACAGAGGCTCTTAATCACCAAGTACATTACAAAACTGTTACTCACTGAAAAACAGACAAGTTTTTGTTGTCCTGCAAACTTTTTGGTAAGTATTTTTAAAGGCATTATAATATTTTGTGACGTGTGATGACTTTTTTTTGTTGTTTTATTTTGGGCCAATACTACTAAAATATTGAGGTTTGCTTCAGGTCAGTAAATCAATGCAATATATAAGATCACATTTGTTTTTTCATTGCTCGCACTTGTAACGTAATTGTGGTTTGAATGCACAACTCACCTCTCAATGTCTTTATACTTTTCCTGCAATTCGGGAGTATCTGTAGCATTCAAAAAAACTCTCCCAGTAAAAAACAAACACTCTGGAAATAACACTGTGGAATGCAGTGGAGGAAATGGCAATGTTACATTGACTTGTTAATGTTGTTCTTTAGTATACACATATCACAGTGCTGCTCAACGCACAGAGAGAGTGCTAACTGCTTAGTTTTAATTTACATGAACAGACAGTGGCTAATCTGTCTTTAAAGCACATCTACAAGCAGAGAGGAATCAGAGCTGGGGCTGTTACACCTCTGAATTCTAATTTGAATGTGTTCGTACAGGCCTGGATCCTGCTTACACAGGCACTTTGTAGAAAGGCAAAACTTTATATTCACCAAACTGTAATTTTATTATAGCTTAAACTATTCTGATTGGTTCCAAGTTGCTTGAAAATATGAATAAACCAATGGTGGGATGTAATATACTAAGTATTTCTGTCCACGACAGGGGTTTTTATAAGTCAGATTCCATTGCATAGAGTACATTATTTTCTACCCATCCAAAGCCAAAAACATATTATAATAATTTTATAAACGTTTTTGTCATCAGTTTTCTGCAAATTTGGTAGTTATAGTGCTTGTTTTACCAGGAAGGCGTAAATGGTCTTTGTGAAAATGTCAAAGCCAACAACTAATGTTACTTCAATGCATTCAGTAACCACAGGTAAAACATTAACTGACCATGATGATTTTTCATGCCTGCCATGGCAGTATGCTTTAGCCTAGCATGACTAGGTTTAGGATTTTTGTGTTTGCTTTGTTGTTTTCTTCATTTTTGTATGTCAGCTTCTGATTTTACGTCAGTCATGTTGTCTTCGTTGGGCCTGCCTGCTGTGGCAGTATGCTTTAGCCTAGGATAATTAAGTTCAGATTTTTAAGTATGCTGTGTTTTTGCCTCATCTATATACATCTCACTTGTTTGATTTTAATTTAGTTATGTCATCTTCAAACATGCCTGTGGTAAGCGGTTGCATGCTTTATACTACATGGTACTGCAGTTTGGTTGGGCTTATGTTAATCCAGCATCCCTGTTTGATTGCTATTGTTTTGTCACCATAGGGCAGTAGTGTTGGAATAGGTAGGTAGATGATTCCACTGCCGTCAGGAATAGTCTATAGCCTGATTTGACACTCTGGGACTTTAGCGCATTTGGAAATTGCATTTACCAAGTTGGCCTTCCCACTTTTTCACAGGCTTCCTCAATAATTTATTGTTGCCTTCACCACTGATTTAGAATAATGTTAATAAAGGCAACATTTTAAGATGCTAGTTTATTAAACAAGCTACGTATAAATAGGTTTCCAGGATGAGCAGACAGCTGTATTGTTCAGGCCAAAACTGTGTTTAAAAAAATTATTTTAACTAACTAGCTAATAAACCAGTTGTGTGTAGTTAGCTAGCTAATGCTGTGAGAGGATGAGCTGTAGAATGAACAATATTTATTTGAAGTAGCTGCTAATCCTTCTGATAAACAGAAAAAGATATGGCTTAGAATGTTGTAGAAACGAATGTTAATAATGTAAGATAATGAGCTTTAGTGAAGTTTGTAAGGGTGTTGTTAGCTCATTCTGACAGATCACTTACAGTGTGAACTGCACATCCTCAGGGAGAAGTTTGGACTGTCAGAACACCAGCATGGAGGGAAATGCTGTCACTGGATTCCTGTATTCGCCAGCTTCTTATTTAGACTTTCTATTCCACCTAAAATGGTGCAGCAGTAACATTCTGGCACCTGTAAGAAGCTTCAGCTTTGTCCATTTACTGACCTTCTTGCTGCATCAGAATAAACACCAGTGTGTTTTCATTACTAGTGATCGGAGGTAGAAAATTACCCCTGGGCTTTACTTCTTTCTTTTTTTTTTTTAATTTTAGTCATAATTGTTGTTTATAACACTGTGAACTTTCAGAAATGCTGCCTACTCATGCTAATTGGTCTTGTGGATTTAGGACATAAAATGTAGTCATGCAGTCTTGTGTCCTATTTATGTTGTTTGCAGCTTGAAAATGATGTACTAACATTTCAATATATTGGAATATTTGACAAACAAACGGGTGAAAGTCTAATTTGACTTCTAAGCCCAACTGAAAGCCCAAGTGTCTACTCTGATTTGCACCTGTTTACTATCTGCCTACCATCAATTACATCAATTCTTCTGTTGGCTAGACGGCTCGTGGATGTTGCTTGACGCTACTGGTTAAAGACCATTGATTAACAGTATATAATAGTGTTTACTTATAATTTTCCAGATGTAGAGAGTGCTCTGATTTTGTTTATTCTTTCTTTTCTCATTCTTTATGGCAGGAAGTCAGGTGAAGTAATTTTATTTTCATAATATTTTCATGATGTTCATTAAGATGGCTAGTTTGACTAGGTGAAACCAAAGAAAATGGGCCTTATTCACCATCTTTCTAACCATCTTTCTTTTTTCTTAAATCTGTTCTTTGTCCGATTCACGACATGTTCTGAAATCGCAAAAATCTTCACATCTTCTTGCCCTTGAGTGTGCATAGATTCTGTTCTTACCTAAGAACAAATGCCAAATACGAAAATACTGGTGAATGCCAGAATCAGTGTGAAAACTGCATAAGCATAAGCTTAAACATAGTGAGTGAGTGAAGTCTTTTGATTTCTTCTCTTCATTCGCAAAGAAAGGATACATGTTAAAATGACAGATACTTCTGATAAAGAAGCTTACCTTACTAGCAAAAGGAGCTCATCCTTTTCTTTCTCACGCTCCATTCTTTGAATTTCAACAAACTTTTCACTGACTGTCTGAAAGATGGTTCTCACCCTTGAAGACACAGAGACAGCAATGCTTACATAGAAAACAGATGTCATAAAAAATATTAAAAATGCATTTACAGCTAAAATATCACCACTGATATTTTCTAACATCAGTACAGATCTAATTTTGGCAGCTATTACTTAAACCATTATATTTTATACAACTTTGTTATTAAATAATATTAACATTATTGTAAAATTCAACAACGTATATACTAGTTTCTTACCTTTCCGTTACTTCATCAAAATCTATTTTTTTAATTTGCAAAATGGCTTCCACACCAAACTTCAGAACATTCACAATATGTTTCCACAATGCTGTCAAATGCAAAGAAAATGAGAGAATATCAACTTTTAATTGATTTCCATCTATGACAGTAGTTGAGGAACACAAAGATTTACAGAAAAAAAGATTTATTTGTAACTTTCTAAAAAAGAAACATTCCACAAGCTGCACAAAACAGCCAGGCACTCATCAGCCTTTGCTTTTGAAATAATGGTAAAACAAAGACATTTTACTATGTTTTCCAATTTGTGAGCAAAAATCATAATCCCAGTGTTTACTGTTACTTTACATTACAGTACTTTTCTGTCGGTGCTTCAATAAAACCTTTTGTCACTTAAATTTTTTGACATAATTTGTGAATACCAGCTGCTCTTTAAATTTTTATAATAAATGGACCAATACAATTCTGTCCCACCAGGCTTTGGTGCCGAATCTTTGTGATTGTTGTGGACTAAAATGCTTGATTTTGCAGTGGCATTTTCACAATTTACTGCTATATTTTTACATTTTTTGTGTGGTTGCAATGTAGAAATTTGTGAAGATTATGAATCTGACATTTATTTGATTTAAATATAGTCTAGTTAGCTTCTGTCAAAACAAATAGAAAGTTAAGTGCACTTCTTAGCCCTTTCCTTAGCGTGTTGGTAAATAGTAATGCTTGTTGGTAATTGTGATCATGGCTTCACACTCGCAAGCAAGACTTCTGCTGATGGTGGCCAAGAACTGCCTGATTTGCAGGAAGGGGTTATTTACCACTATATACCACTGATGACTTAATATTATTTGGGGGTGGACTATTCACAGCAAAGTAATACTTATGACAGTGGCATGACACTGTATGCTGTGCTGGTGTAAGGGTATTTTGGGCACAGCAGTGTTAAAAAGTTATTTTAAACCTTAATGTCACCGCTGGGTTAAGAATAGTCTGTCAACCAAATGTCTAGCCAAACATGGTCATGTGGTCAGAAAATGACCACTGATGAAGAGCTAAAACATGACTGACATGACTTTTATTGTTCTCATCTCCTTGAGGCAATTAAGTATTGTTTGTAATTATCCTCTAATACCTGGTTTGGTACTTCTTTTTTAAATGAGTTGTGCTGGTGATGGAGTTTAATAAATACACACAATGACTGGGAGCATCAAGGAGAAGTTCTTCAGAGGTAAAGAACTTTGTTCTCATAACCAGCTCAAAAAAATATCGTAGTTCATTAAAAGCAAATATTATTCTTTATTGTACTTGTTATTTTGCATTTATCATAATGTTATATAGTGTTTTATTAGCAAAAAAAGTATGTAAGGGAACACTTTGGATCGTTGTTACACCACTGTTAAAAATGCCTATCACACCGTCATGCATGCACCTGTCGGTCACTCTGACCACAGTCCTGTTCACGTCATCCCAACTAACAGGCTGAAACTCAAAATCAACAAGGCTGTCATTACAACAGTGAACAGGTGGACCAGTGGAGACATTGAAAAGCTAAAGGGCTGCTTTTAATCCACAAACAGGACTGTTTTTGAAAAGGCGACAGACAGCTTAGATGGATATACAGACACAGTGACGTCACACCAGTTTCTGAGAGGAGAGCTGCATTTCAACTACAACACAAGTAAAATATGATAAAGCAATGATAAAGTATGGTTTTCAGCTGAACTCAGCTTTGGAGGGAAAAGGAGGCAGCATTCAGTAGTGGGGCAGAATTCTCTATAAAGAGGCAAAATACAAGCTGGAGAAAGGGATTAAAGCAACAAAGAAGAAATACTCAGAAAAGCTGAAAAGACACAGTGCTGCTGATGACCCAGCTTCAGTCTGGAGGGGCCTCCAAGAGATCTCCACCTACAAGGTGAGAAAAACTTCCCTTCTCCTGAACCACCACCAGCTCAACAACAACCTGAATGAGTTCTACTGCAGATGTGAATGCACCAAGGACAATATTCATCCGCCATCATCCCAGTCCCAAAAAGAACAAACATTACTGGACTTAACGACTATAGACTAGTAGCCCTGTCTGTAGTTACAAAGGTCTTTGAACACCTGGTACTGAAGACCATTACAAATCCTCTGCTGGATCCCCTGCGATGCCACCCTGATGGGCCTCACGGCCAAAGGTGATGAGTCTGCCTATAGAAAGGAAGTTAAGCAGCTGGTTTCCTAGTGTAGCATCAACCACCTGCTGAACACGCAAAAGACTGTAGAGATGTTGGTGGACTTCAGGCGCAACCCTCCCTACCTACATACCCTCACCATCAACGGCTCTGTGGTTTCCACTGTGGATTCACTCAAGCTCCTGGCCACCACCATATTCAGGGATCTGGGATATGGAAGTGGGAGAGGAACACGGTCTCCATCGCCAAGAGAGCTCAGCAGGGAATGTTCTTCCTGAGACAGAAATTCAACCTGCTGCAGAGCCTGATGATCCAATTCTATACAGTGATCATCCTTACATCATTTATAACCATCTGGTTTGGTTCCTCCACCTTACAAGAACAAGCTAAACTCCAGCACATAATCAGGACAGCGAAGAGTATCATTGGATGTAGTCTG